CACCTGAGCAATTCATGCCGCTAATTTCTCCATACAGGAGGCATCTTGAAGCTGTCATTGACAACAAAGGCTTTTGTACAAAGTATTACTGTAGATAAATTTCAGTAAGTGTGTTCAATACTTTTTCCCTGTGCCATTCCACATTATTACAAATAACTTCATTTCTGGACATTTATGGTTTGATTTCTTTGTATGTATGGATCACTTGGGTTGTTACCAACATCTGGTGAAAATTTCATATCATTATCACCTCTAGTAATATATTTACTGAGAAAAATGGTGACGTGTTCAGTACTTATTTTACCAGCTGTATAGCCATATTTATTTATACACAGTAGTGATGTGAGGATACTGTAGACACCAGGACATTATGCTGTAAAATTGATTCAAAAATCTTAATTAAGACACAAATTTTCTTTTTGTTTTTTTAGCATTTTCTGATGATTAAACAATAAACACTGAACTACTGGATTCTCTGTCCACAGGAACGCCTGAGACGACTCAACCACAACGTGGCCAAAGAGACGGCTCGAAGGAAGACCATGCTGGAAGCATCAGGAGTGTTCGCCTCTCGCTCTCCCAGTAAACCATAACCCCCACAGGAACACCCAGAGGACCAGTCTTCCTTTAATATTTAAATGTCTGTTTGCCAATTATTTACTCCTGTCCTGTGCTGTTTTTGTCACGAAAATAAAAAGCTTTTAATTTATTGTCTGAATTTATACAGAACATTCATTTTGTGCATAAGAACGCAACATTTCTGGAAAGAATTCCAACTCCCTGCCACCGTGCATGTCTAAACCTTGATTTATTCAGGACAATATGATGCATATAATGTACATTTTGACATTGCAGGAAGTTAAAACAGCAGTTTGAGTTTCAGGTGAATAATTGGTTATTGAAATGACGCACTACTGATCAAGTTCTTGAACACTCACTTCCTGTCAGAGTTCCCACCAGTTTCTGAGTGGACTTACAGACACCTTGACTTTCAGCAACTTTACAGATTAAACCTCTGGTAGTTCAGCACTTAGGTTTGTACCATTTCAAGCTGTTCATTGGACATGAGGTGCTTGAATTTCAAAATAAAAACTGGAAAAATTAGTGCGTTCTAAAAAAAATCCACAAAAGCTGAATATAATTTTGTGAAACCATCAAATCTAATGTTCCTTACTGTTTTTGAGCGATTTGTTTATTTTTGTTAGGAGGTCTGAAAGAGAATTAGGGCGTCTGAAAAATAAATAAATCTGACTTTAATCTCAGAATTCCTAAATTTCCTGCTGTGCACATGTTCGCCTCCAGGGGGCGGTGCATCTTTTTATTGTAACGTCTTCAACCGGAAGTCCAAGTAAAAGAAGCGGAAATCGACCGTCCCGAACTGTTTTGACTTCGTACAACATTTGCAGAAGAAGACAGAAAATATAAATAAAAAAGTCGACACATCTAGCCGTCATTAGGTCCTACAAAGAGCTGTTTGAGCTCAGGAGGCAGCAGCACCGTCAGCATGGACTCCTGGGTTCGCTTTAACGCTCAGAGTCAAGCCAAGGAGAGACTAATTCGGTAATATTATCACTTTTAATAAACATTTCAGTCTGTTCTGGTGTGAAGCAGAAATGACAGAAACTCTTTGCTCAGTCAGTCTGTTTCTGCACGAGTTCCTCCCATCTTCAGCATTACCTCTAAAGTCCCGCTAAAACATTAAATTGTGTCTGAAAATGAACCAAGTCATGGTAATGACTAATAAAACAGCTCAGTATTCAGTGGATATGTACCTGATACTTACCTGGTAGCATTGAAAACTTACACAATGCATACTTGTACTTACAGAGTGAATTCCAGTTAAACATCTGGTCTATTTACCTGGTACCTACAGGTACAAACATACCTGACTCAGTTGTGTACCTACCTGTACCCCTTAGTATTTCACTGGTTTGTACCTGTACACATTACATTCCAGGTACTTATGAAAGAACTTGTTACCCTGTAAGTACCAGGTACCTGTTTGGGTCAGAGTTGTAAAGTAGCTAAGTACAAATACTTTGTTACTGTACTTAAGTAGAAATTTTGGGTATCTGTACTTTACTTGAGTAATTATTTTTCAGTGTACTTTTTACTTTCACTCATTACATTTTTACTCAGTTATCTGTACTTTCTACTCACTACATTTAAAAAAAAAGGTAAGAAGTAGAAAGTCGTTACTCCTATTTTATTCTGAGTTATTACTTTAAAAAATACTATCGTGATAAATTGTGTCTCCTGGATCGAGTGAATTTAATTGTGTTTGGATGAGAAGTATAAATATATACCATTCTGACACACTATTAGCTTGTACACAACCCATCACAGCTGCACGCTGTTAGAAACAATATTTTTTGGAGAAGTCTCCTCCCAATAAATGTCATTTAGAAAAATCTAACTGCTCACTTTTACTCAGTACTTTTACTTTTAATACTTAAGTAGATTTTGTGTCAGAAATTTACTTTTGATACTTAAGTACAAAAAA